CAACCCGGATTGCAAACAAAAAAAAAAATGTCTGGCGTTGCTTGACCGGGATAGAGGTGCTGTGTATTGGGTTTGAGGTTTAGGGCTAAATAGATGTACGAGCCCGAGCACTTCAACCTAACCATTTTAACTTGTATAAATAAAATTAGAGATGGACACAAAATATAAACCAGTAGTAATATGTTTCGTTAAAATGAAAATGGGCATCTCAGCGTTGAAATATTCACAGAAGTGTAGTTATCATCGGTAAAAACACGTTAACTCGCTCAACAGGAACTCGTGCATATGCGACCCAACGTTCAACAAACGTAATTTCGTTCGCTGCTCAATGGCGCCAAGAACTAATTACAGATAAAGGGAAATGAACAGCCGTCTCTTGGTTGCCGGGACGCCGACTATTTTGGGCACCGTAGCTGCGGTTTCACGCACCTCTGTTGATACTTAGTACTATTTAAGGAACGCAAATCGCGGAACTTTTCTCTAAACTATGACGTACTCCCATTCACCCATGGAGCTAAAAAAATTTTTTTTTAGCTCCACGACTCGCCCCAACCTAGCATTGACAAATAAAGAAACACTTGCAACTCAAATACGATCGTTATCGATGGACACAGACCATTGTTACTACCCGTTAACTGGCTAATTGGGTGAATTTTGCGCCTGTTTTTCTGGATGATATCGGGTTTGTTAACGATTATGTCAACTGCTACAAACAATCAACACAGTTACTAAATATTCCGAGCTTCATGTTTCAGAATACAGTACATTATAATAATACAGTCTTGTATGTCGTCAAACTATTCTCTTTTTTAGCGTCTCAATTTTCTCGTAGATAACAAGTCTGTCAACAATTTTTCTGTTCCTAAATCTGTGGTGAAAAGAGTAGAGAATACAATTTCGGATGTCAGAGGGTTGTCCAATCAGACTGCGCGAATTGACGGTCTCTAAAGCTGGTCTCAGACACGGTCTCATTCCCGGTCTATGTGGCATCCGAGAGTCTCTAAATCGGTCTCAAACACGGTCTCAAACGGCATCTTCCTCTGTGGGAGAGTCTCAGAACTGGTCTCAAATGCCTTCTAGAGGGTACCGTACATACCTCAAATCAGATTAACTATCACATGAAACCAAATAAAAATCATTCTAAAATAACGTACAATGTACCTATACCCAATTGATTGTGGATTCATTGACCAGGGAGAAAGAAATTACATTTACAATAGTAATCGACGAGCAGGTCCGGATAGTAACGTTCGGTTGACGATATAGACGATACAACAGTACTGATTGGACCTACATGAATGCTAATCTATTTCACATAACCAAATGTTTTTTGTTTTTTTTGTTTTTTTTTGCTGTCGTACATTATCTTCGGTAATAACTCCGAAAGTTAAGTCTTATATCTTCAGCAGAACGTAGCCGTTAAAACTTGCAAAATGAGTCTGTTTCAATCGATCATCGCTTAAGCAGCATACAATTTATTTATTTTTTGACTCATTTAAAAAATACGAACGGTGTCAATATTTAAAAATGCATTTTGTCTGTCTCTGACGTGCTTCAGAATAATATAGATCTTGGCCGATCATATTTTTACAAAAGACCTGAATGTACAGCACTAATTTTACCCAACCTCATGCTTGCTTCTGCTTTTCGATCATTATTTTTACTCGCTTTTGCAACCGCATGTTGAATAATTTCCACTTAATTTTTAGAGCGCGCGAACCCAGAAATATCGCCCGTCCGCACTCTGGCATTTTAAATACATGGCCGTGGCATCAATATGTTCCTGGTGTCTCTGCTCTCTGCCCTAAGGAGTTAGCGTTGCCTGTATCACGTAATTGTCTCGATAATCATATTGTTGAAACGAGGTAGCAGCCCTGGATTCAAACGGAACACAGCCCAAGTTACGTTCGCGAGCGAAACAAAGTATGGTGGTTTGGAAGTGTCGTTCGAAATTAAATAATGGTTAATACTCGTTGAATCCTCAAACTTTAGCACTAAAACAATCATTTCGACAACTCATGTGCCAGTGTTCAGTGTTTGAACAAGCGGTCAGTGTTTTTAATAAGCGAGTGAAAAAAAAAAGGGATAAAAACATGGTCGTTTTTCCGGTCGGAAATTAAGCGATGTGCTGTTGATTAAAATGTTATAAAAGCGAAATATTGGGCGAAATGAGTATTGATGCCCATTTATAGTTTGACATGCGTCACCAAATGGGAACATGGTTAGAGTTGGTAGTACCATGGAAGGTACTAATCCATGGTAGTACCAGTACTAGTATACACGGGGAGGGAATCCAGAGAGAGAACAGCCAGCATCCCTTTCACGGGGAAACGTGAAATCTCGACGGATTTGTTTCGTTCTCACATGTAATATTAGGTTTTGTGGGCTTCTGAGTTCAAAAAAGATGACTAAATCAACCAAGAAGCAAGCGTTTAGAGATATACCTATGCAGAAGTTGGTTTGCCAGTACTTAATCCATTTTTAACACCTAGGCTACTCTATTGACATTGGTTGTTTATTTCATGGATTTGGCACTTGAGGTGGCTGATAAGCCGTGTCGAAAACGTGCACAAAACGACCATTCTGTGCACGTTTTCGACACAGATTAAAAACCAGTTGTAAGCACAAATTTTCATATGAAACACCTGTACATCAGATATGCCATGATCATTTACATTCACAATTAACGTTGACATCTTGCATTGTTTTAATTTAAGATAGTTAAATTATGACCATTTCAAAGTTAAAAATGCATCAAAATCAAGCATTTTTACAATCCTAGTACAAACTTCATACATGAAACACAATTGTTTTCTTTTCATCAGTTCAGATTCAAATAGCCATCTAATGGCAAATATGTACTGAATGGAAGGAGGGATATGTTATTCCAGAGCCATATCTCTGACATACCTTGACTAATTGCAACCAAATGATATTTAATACATTATACATCATAATACACATATTAATAAGCATTCATTTCAACTTCAGATTAAAAATAACTGATTTTTGTTTCAGAGTTGTTTACTATTGCTCAAGGGGGACACTCATGTCTGTGACAAATGTTTTTTTATTTGATAATTTATGCTTTTAAGAATAAGAAATGAAGAAACAATTCACATAATCTGTTGATTCAACAAGAAGTTTAACAACTGTTTTAAGATAACCAAATTATGTCAGACTAATTAACCAACCACACACTGGGATTTATATCACATGCATCTATGAACCAATCATGTTGTTAGTATTTATATATGGAGTATGGAGATAACCCAAAATATGACACGAATATATCTGAAATCTCATGACATATGAAAGAAGTCATTGAAAATGACACAGTCGTCATATTAAGCGGAGGGGTTGTCGCGAGCATGTCCTTGAAACTTGAGTTCCAAGTGGCGTATATTTACATCAAAACATGTGTTCCGTGTAGTAGTAATATGGCCAAAAATAAAAACAGCCGTTATTCGGCCATCTTTGATCTGATTATGAAACACACTGATATGTATGATGTATGTGCCAAATACGAATGAAAATGGTACATAAATTGTGGAAATATAGTAGTAAGGCCAAAAAGTCAGATAGCTGTCAATCGGCCATCCTTGACCAGATTTTGAAATGAATTGTCATGGACATGCATCCTAACATGTATAAAATACATGTATGTGCCAAATATGAATGAAAACTGACAGAGCACGTCCAAGATACAGCATAAAAAACAAAAACAAGATGCCTGCCAGTCTACCATCTTTGATCCAATTGCGAAATAAATCGTCATGGACATGTATCCTAACATGTATAATCAATGTACCAAGTTTGAATGACAACTGACAAAGCATGTCCAAAATACGACATTTTCAAAAAAACAAGATGGCTGCCAGTCGGCTAAACCACTGCATGTGCATATGTCCCACATAAGATACTAGGCACATGCAAAGAATGAATGAAACAAGTAACCTGTAGAATACTGTGTGGGTAATATTTTTTATATCGATTTTTGTTGCATTTGCAGCAAATAGTTACCAAACAATGAGAAATCTATAGGATTGAATATACCCCACAGCTGGCTTCACATGCAT